ACCCTGCTACTATGCCCACCCGGTCCCTACTCACCACGATATTTGCTAAAGTAAGAGAGGTTTCTGAGAAATTTCGTTGTTTGTTTTGGTTTTTTGACATTAAAAATCCGTTACGAGAAAATGCGCCAAAGTTGCAATTAAGTGCACAAATACCACATTACTAAAAGAAAAATAAGGTGGAATTTGTTTTCAATTATAAAAGCATTAAAAAAAGATAATTACCAGAAAAATATATGAATTATTAGTTAATTAAAATTTATTTACAATTGAAACGGAAGTGCGTACTTGGATGTTTAAATTTCAAACATCTCTATATTTTTCCAAAGGATTATCGAAGGTATATTATTAATTAAAAATAACGCAATTTATTGTTGTAGAATAAAGTAAATATATAAATGTATTAACACATTAGAAACACAACTTAGAAAGTTGTGCTTTTATTTTTTATTTTTTCCATGATATACTAATAATTATAAAAAAGGAAAAATCCTGAAGAGAAATTAATATTATTAATTATACTTTTATTGAGTGTTGTTATTATATATACATATATTGAAAAATTAGAATCACAATTTTCGGATCAGTTCGATAGCAGTTGCTATAAATTAGGTTTAGCGCAACATTTATTTAATAAATTAGAAAACGTTCATCCCTATATATGTTGCTCTAATTGCAAAATTGAAACTTTTCTATCTTTTTTCATTAAAGTAAGAACTTACTTCATTTTAAAATATTTCAATCGAGATAATAAAGTGTCGAATTTTAAATATAAACAATTATGCTTTCAACACTTATAAACAGCACAAAAGTGTTCATATTCTTTAAGTGATTTTTTGCTTAAACAAAAAATATTTTAGTTTTAATTTTATAATTTATTAAATTTATTTATAATTTATCTTTAATTTAATAGTTCCTTATTATTTTTGGTTTAATATTAAATATTTTTAAAATAGTAATATTATTTTGTATATATTAAGTTATTCTAAATTGTATTTACATAAAATTGTATATTTGTTAAATAAAATATTTTGGTGGATAGGCCTATTTGGGAACCGAACACCTAAAACTCGGTAACACGCCAGCAAGCATACCTCTTAGGTGGTGCGGAAAATGTTTATATATTTAATATTTCTTCTAACACTATGCGATGAAATTGATCCTTATTGTTTACAATGTTGTTATTAACTAGTTAAGAATTTCTTGAATTTCATATACAAAAAACATTTCACCTTACTGAAAGGATTGCTTAAAACTACAAAAAATATGTAGTAGTAAACAGTATATACATTTTTACGATTTTCTATATTGAAAAAATTTGATGCACAAGCAAAAATTGCATTACAATATACCAAACTTTTTTTGAATTTCAAAAAATTATATTAATATTAATCTTTTTAAAACAAAATATTAAAACAATGCAACCTAATACTCGAAATGTATGAACACATACTTACTTTTCTATTAGATGCTCAGCATATATAGAAATATAGAACGTATATGTGCAACATGATTAAAAGAACTTTTATTTTAATAAATACGATACAATTTTTTTAACTTTATTAAAACAATTTCATGACTAATTATATATACATATTTACATATATCAATAATAGCTACTTTATATTTACTATTGATTTTAGTTTACCAATTCTTCATTTATATTTGATTTATATAGCGCATTTAAAACTTTTATGTAAATTGAAGTAAAACTGATATAAAAAATCATACCTATATTTACTCATTATAATCGTATTAATATATACAATGGATTTTCCAAGAACAATAATTTATACTATTTCTTCTAATTAGAAGAAATGGCTACATGCTAATATGCAACCACAATGTAGTAAATATTTAAATTATAAGCCACACCGTTTTTAATATTTGACAATTCTGGTATGGTAAATAAGTAAAAGAGATTTTCTTTGCGATATTACACAAAGAGGCACCATTATTCAAAATTTCCTCTCAGTTTCTTTTCTTTATCTTCTTTGGTTATTTTATTGCATAAAAGTATTTTATTAAAAATAAAATTGTTGAATTAAATTAATAATAAATTAAATAATATTAAAAGTCTTTAAACTATTCATACATTTGAATATGAATATTTTAATATACAAATATAATTTACATACTCCACTCTTTTTACCACCAAAAAATTGTTTACAATTTTTGTTTTTTTTTATATTTCTTATTGGATTTTTCACATATTTAACAAACACAAATTAACACATAGGACAACATTATTAAAATATATTAAATATACACTCACATATATTTTTGCTTTAATAATTTGTATTTATACACATTAAAACAAACAAATCACATTAAACACAAAACATATATTTTAAATCCACAATTAATAAATTATTGTTTTTTTACCTTCTTTCGTCATTTTTAGGAAATTCATACATTCCCTTAAATAACTTACATCCCATCACGCAATTTTGCACCATCTTCAAATATTAATAATAATATATATTAATTTACTATAATAATAATTATAATAAATATAATTATTTTTTCAAAGAAACTTATTCACTACTTTTTATAACTCAGTTTGATTTGACTACGTTTTTCAGTTTTTGGCGCATTTCTCCTGTCAAAATAACTAAAAAAAACCCAATTTGCGCTCTTCATATTGCTCTTTCGTAATAAAAAAAATTAAGACCGTTCGTGGTGGTGAAACGTTCCGTTCGGGGTGGTGAAACTTTTCAGTCGTGGTGAGCCGAATTGCAACAACAAAACAACGTGCTTGGTTTGGTAGTAGTAAATTATTTTGAGAGGGTATTGGTTGGTTTTTTTTGTTTACATTTAAGTTGCCGTTCTTGTACAAGTATTCTTTGCTCCAGTTTGATGTTCTTCTGAAGTCAGCTGTAATGATATACAGCTTTTTAAAATTCGCATTTAATAGCCAAATAAATTAATTATGCGTTTCTCACAAAAAATAACCAAATACAAATACGTAAATGTTCTAAGTTTTTTATTTTTAATTATGAAGATCCAAGAAATGGTAATATAATTACAAATCAATAATCATTTTATGATACTCGTTTCATAAATATATAAAAGTTTTAAAATTTACTTTCATAATTGTTTAATAGACATATTCTTCTTTGAATCCTTAGCCTAATATGGGGTTTACATTGGCCGAAAATGGCTCATTTTGAATGACCCATTTGAAAGTGTTTACATTCGTTGTAATTCGTTTGTTTTCATTTTAAACAGCTGATTTTGCAACTTGCTTGTTGATTTGATTTTTGGTCTGTGCCAAAAAAATATTGCATGAAGGTTAAATATGCTATCAAACCTTACAATATAAACTTAAAACATATTTTTAACTTCGATTAATTACTTTTTGGGAAGTTAAAGTTCTAAAAAGAATTGCATCGTTTTCAAGAAAATGCAACCACCAAACATTTGTTTACCTTTTTTTGTAAATATGTCAAAAACAGCTTTCTCAAACTGTCAAAATGCCATGAAAAGCTTTTATTTAGGGTATGTTCAATGGTTTCCGTTGCATTTGGAACATATGTGGAATGCATTCGAATGTCTTTCATACAGAATGTGAGAAAATTGCTCATTTTTGCGCTTGAAATTTTATATGCAAGAATGAGTCATTCGATACTCATTTTCGATTTTTGACCAAAATGAGCCATTTTCGGCCAATGTAAACGCCATATAACTCGCACACGACCTTAATATCTCACATTTATTAATGCTCATTTAATTTAATTATATATAATTTGTTAATCGAACAAGATATAAAATATTGTACATCAATCGTTTAAGAAAAAATTCTAGTTTTTTATTTTGATAATATCATTGATGCATCAAGCGTAATAAAAATTCGACGTTAGCTTTTCTTTTGCAATTCTATGGACTTACTAATAACTTTTCAACTGTACATTGTGCTTTTTCAGTGCCATTTCAATTTTTCAGCGAATTTAATTAATAGATGGAATGCTATCTATTAACAAACTTTGTACAAAATTTTTGAATAATAATAATAATAGTTTTGAATTAATATAATTAAACTAACTTCGATTGTTTTCAAATAATTGTGGTTATACAAAGTTTTTTTATATGCTAACTGTCTTCTGACTTCGGCTATATGCTTTCTATAAGAAAATTGTCTTTTTTAAAAGAAAATCAATTTCTGAACTTTAACACTCAATAACTTTTTAGTTAATCCATCAAGTTATAGATATGATAACATGATATGAAAGCTTGAAGTGTCCTCTTTCAATTAAGGTAATTTGCAGAAAAGTGGTACCTCTGCTTTTAAAGATATAATTAATTTTATAATGTGACCTATTTTTACAAAATTTTGTTCGAAGTCAATCGAACAACTTATACAAAACTTCGCATCATATGAAATTTTATTCTCTTTCAAATGAGCCATAAAAGAAAAAAATATTGTCTCTAGTTTAAAAGTTATTAATAAATTAGTGACCCCATTTATTGGGGTTGGTTTTTATTTTTCATATTAATTACATCATTAATACGTAAAAGTTGAATGAAGATAGAAAATTAATTCAATTTTCTACTTACTAATGCTTTTTCCGCATTTAATTTAATAAAATAATAAAATTTTCCTTAATTAAAGTATACTGCATGCGGCGAAAACTGTTCCAATTCCATTTTGGACTTATCGTCGACGCTATCTTGACGCACATTTTTTAAATCGCTTCTGAAAATATTTTGCTATTTAAGCTATTTTTCACAGTTTCACAAAAAGTAATTTTACTCCTGTTAATTGCAAAGCATTTTTGTTGAATTAAATATACATGTAAATTCGATATTTTGGAAATAGTGTACTCTGTTTGATGGTTTGAGTGAGTGAAGGTTCTTTGTGGAATTTAATAAGATAATAGAGACGTGTTTATTATATTTTGTTAATCATAATATAAATGTGGAGTTGTTTAGAATAGTGTGTTTTATTTTAAATTTGCGAAAAAATTATACTTTTCACTGAAAACAAATAAAATTTAGATATAGAAAAAGTATTAATCAAAATAATCTGCATATGTTACTGAATCACGATACTGTTCAAAATCATTTATAATAAATTGTTTAAATGGTGTCTGTAATTATGATTAGCCTTTAATATTGCACAGTGAATAAATTTAATAATAATAACAATCATCGAACGTGCCATAAAAACGTAACATAGTTTTACCATGGAGGCAACAGCCACAGTATTAGCCCGAAAGTTGTTTCCTCAAAATGTAACTTTTGTCATTCTATCATAGCGAAGGAATTCCGGTAATCAAAACCTTACCGGAATCGGTTCTGTTGTATCCGCCACTGAAAAGAGAATACTGATAATGGTCATGTATTAACGTATAATAAAAATATTTGGAATACATTAGTTACATTTAATTCAAGTTATTATTATTAATTGAGTTATAAACCAGAGTTCGTATTTGCGTACCCATGAGCGGCTCATTTTGGCTCATTCTGCTCACGGCTCATGTGCCGGCAAAAAACTCTTTTCATACGATGGCTCACCCTCACGAGCGAGCCCAACTACAGAGCTCACGCTCACGAGCAAGAGCCGCCATTAAGTTATAAATGGGCTCACACTCGTGAGCAAGAGTATGAGCTGCGGCTCATGAGATCTCATGCGCCCAATTTAAGATTTTATTATTATTTTTTTTTGTGAAAACATGTCATTAAAAAGGATTTAAAATATTAATAACTTTGAACTAACTAAAATATGGAAATAATCAAATTCCTAAAATAAACAATAAATATATTTTTATTGTTTATTTGTGGAAAATAATATTTTATAAATTTGTTTTTCAAAATCAAATTATTGTTTCATTATATTATTTTAATATAAAATTATATATTTTCACATATAACGTTTATAAAAACAAATATAGCAAATAAACTAATAAATCGCTTTTTATTAAACAGTTGAGCTCGTGAGCTCTCGGCTCGTGAGCTCTCGGCTCGTGAGACCTCATGAGCAGCTCTTCAATATGAGCAACTTGAAGGCTCTCGCTGGTGAGCAGTTCTTTAATATGAGCCAATTATGGGCTCACGCTCATGAGCCAATTTTGGGCTCACATAAGAATTGGCTCTTCCTCATGAGCCTGAGCTGCTCATGAGTGAGCAAATACGAACCCTGTTATAAACAGCTCATAAATTACGTATAAGTAGCTTTTTTGTTAAAACCATCGTTAGTATAATTAAGATACATATGTTTTGATGCATATCATCAAAATTTTCACATTTTTTAATTATTGCTAAAAGATAAATATATTGCTTATAGAGCAAATGTATTAAAATAAAACAAAAATTGCTTAACTGATTGCTATGACCATGACTACGAAAAAGCACAATGAAAATGCAACAGCGAAAACGAATAGTTTCATTAACTATGCTTACAACAGAGCATGATCATTAGTCGAAGCCGACAGCTATAGTTGATTTAACATATTTGAATATTGACTACGGCAATCAAAGCAATTGTGCTGGCAGTTGTCTCATTAACTAAGCTTATGACTGTGCACGATCTCAAACTCGAAGTCGACAATAATAGTCGATTTGAAATATTTGAGTATTAACTACGGCAGTCAAAGCAACTGTGCTGGCGGTCGAAGCAATAATTAATGTAAAGGCTGCAAGTAATCTTTATTTTTTTAAAAAAAAGAAAAAAATAAAAATCATCAGTTGATATATTTTCTACTATGTATACATAGTAGAAAAAGTCTGCAAATTTTTTTTACTGAAATTGATTTCTGTTTTTTGATTTATTTTATTTTTGTGGTAGTTTTCGAAGTTGCCTGGGAGCAAGCCACGATCCCTGCTGTATGCTTAGGATCATGCTCCTGAGGATCAAAAAACTTGCCTCAAGCGCTAACATTCTGGAACTTTTTTTTAAATTTATTTTTAGAACATTCAGATACTCAAATTTGTTCGTGTATTTTGTATAAATTCAAGTTTACCGGCACCATTACTTACCAAAACATTATGCCTTCACCACCATGTTTCATCGTTGAAATTAAGTTTTGTTTTTTATAGGCTGTACATGGTTTTCTTCACACAAGTTTTCTATATGCAGAATTAACTCTCATCGGAGAAAATAATTCTTTTTCAGAACTCCATACATTGTTTATATGCTTTTTTGCAAAGCTTAATCGATATTATCTGTTTCTGGATTGTAAGGATGGAAATTTTAACTAATTTCCAACCTACATACAATCAGTGTGGAGTTAATATCTACAATGAAAACTGTTTAATTTTTATTGTTAATTTAAAACGTAAATAATTTACCATAAACCCACCCCCGCATGCACATAACTGCACCAAATGAATAAACCTAGGATTACATTAAAAATTCAAGGAATATAAAATATATTTAAACAAATAAATAATACACTCACCTTATTTATTATTTATATTAATATTTTGAATATTTGTAATATTTATGTATTTATTAATAAATAAATATAAATAATAAACCACACACACCGGCACTATATAGAAAATAAAAATAAAAAAACACGTTTGTAAACAAGACAAAGCATGAAAGCTTTGGTTGAACTAAATACAAAGCACGACGAATTCAAGAACACAAGAAAACATAAAGCCTAGAAATTACACCCAGGCGAACAACAGCAGCAAAAGCCAACAAGTATCAAAAATACCAACGGCAAATGTACCGATGCGCTACAGGAAAAGCTTCGGTCGTTTGAGTATAATAAGCGCACATTGTACAAGCAAGGGCACTTGTTGGGAAACTCTCAAAGGTAGTAATACGTCTTTGTGAAACAAGTCAGTAGAACAATAGCGTCAAGGTAGTATATACGTCTTGACAAGTAGATTGTATATGTAGTCTTAAATGTAAATCAAGCCAAGGTAGTCATGATACATCTTGACTAACACTTCGTTCAATAATATGTGTGACTGACACATAGATGGCGGCAGTAATACTAAATAAATATTTTTTTTCGAAAGTGGCAACCTTTTTAGGCTTACTGTCAAAATCATATGTTAATCCGACCATTTGTTTACAAGTTACACTGCTTTAAGTGACGCTACTTTTGATTTAAAAAAAAAAAAATGAATTCAAAGCAATTCCGTGTGCTGATTTATCATTGTTTTTTAATGAAAAAAAATACTGTTCAATGCCAGGAATTTCTGGAAAAACATTATTCGGACTCTGCTCCATCAAAAAGAAGCATTTGTTATTGGTATGCCGAATTCAAACGTGGTCGTACAGATACCGATGACATTCCATCTACTGGACGGCCAAATTACGCTGTTATGTTATTCCAGAAAACGTTGAAAAAACACTGAAAATCATTATGTCGGACCGTAAAGTGAAAGTGAGGGAGATTGCTGACATTCTTCAGATATCAGCAGGCAGTGTACACACCATAATTCACCATAATTCAACTGATAATTAATATCATTTAATTGCATAATTATGTTCGCAAGTGAATTTAAATCTAAATATTAAGAAGTGGACGCAGATTTTTCTTCAAAAATTGTTGCTTTTGCCTGTAATGGTGTTGAATTATTATTTTAAAGTGTAAATTTTTTATGTTTGAAGTTATTGTTGTTTTTTTGGTTAAAACGAATGAGAAAACAATTTTAGTAAAAATTAAATAAGTTATGCAAAATTTAAGAGAAATTTTGTGGGATGATATAAACTTTTTCTACTATGTGTAGGTATTTACATTAAAAATTACAGTATACTATCATTTAGTAATTTTTTAATTTATTTAGTAATTAACATTGCTTTGCATTGTATTGTAATTAATAACTATACATAAAAAACAGATATACACATTTTGCTACGTGCCGATTATACGCAATATCAAATGAAGTATACATATTCGTACATTCTTGCAGTCATTTACAATCTTTACATTAACTATTGATTCGCTGCCAGCACAGTTGCTTTGACTAGGTAGTTAATAGTCAAATATGTTAAATCGACTATTGCCTTGACTGCCAGCACAGTTGCTCTGATTTTGTATTATTGTATTTATTATTATTATATATTATTATACATTATTATATATTATTATATATTATTATAATTATATATTATTATTATATTTATTTATTTGTACTATTTAAAAATATTTATAATTATTGTTTAAGTTTTAATTGTAGACTGGATATGGCTGTTATAACATCGTCAAAGGAATCATTATCACAAGCTTTACAAAATCGAATAATACCTAATCAAGAGTACTTACTACAAGGATCTGTTTTAGATTCTACTGTCGAACATTTGAAACAAAGGTAATACAATACACTACACATACATTTTATATAAATTTTTATATAGAGTAATATTTCCAAAAATGAATTGATTTCCACACACTTAGTTGCGTTAAAATTTAATCTTTTACATATAAAAAAAAATTTTTTATATCAACTTGTTTTTTATTCGTAATGACAATTTGCACAGTGGTTAAAGACTCAAACTGTGCTATTCTGGTAACTATCATTGACTATTTTCCATAATCATAGTTAAGAGTATGGTTCGATTAAGCTGTTTTGTTATATTTGCAATATTTGAAAAAGTTTTTTAAGTCTTGTGACAATTTTATGAGAAAAAAATAAAAAGTCATAGCACAGGTGAATAAAAAAATTATAATGATATAATAGAATAAACAAATAAGTAAAAACATTAAACAAAAAAGTTAAACAATTTTCCATTAATAAAAAAAATTATTTTACTTATAATTATATTTTTTGCTCATGGTTATTACGAACAATTGTTAACAACTTTTCAGAATACGCCATTTAGCGTAAATTTTATACAATCGAGCAGTTTTTGGATGCTAGCGCCTAGAAGCTATGTACTGAACAACCAATCTGATTCATTCAATGTTGTTTTCGTTTTTTCAACATTTCCGTCACCGGTTTTATCATTTGGTGCACGGCTCAAAGCGTCTTCGTGATCTATTTTCTACCCGAGAGATGCAAGGTCATAGTTTTGCATTTGCAAACACCTTCGCGCAATCTGTGCTAATTATTTTTTCTTTTGCATTGCTGTTTATATTACAGTACCACACGAAAATTTTTCGACTTTGTATAGACGCCAAACAAAAACTAATCGTACTATATGCGTTAAACTTTGACAGAATGTGTATTATTATACAGTGAGAAAATTGCCAGTGAGAAAATAAAAAAATTTACCGATTGAATAAGCGCGGGAATCACAGTTCACGTGAATAAGTTTTTTTTTGATCACAAGGTATACGTTATAATTTCTTTCTAAAACTCGCATTTATTTACACTAAATAGTCCCATATTTTGTAGTACAGAGTAAACACGTTTGAATTTATCAATAATCTCCAATTGAATTACTGCCAGTCTATACGTCACCAATGTGGCAAATCATCTTGTTTTTTTTTCAAGGGTTTTTTTTTCCCTTTAGATGTTAAAATATAATTGGTGAATTTTTAACCTGGACAGCATAATCGCTCTTAAGATTTTTTACAGCAAAGAATATATTTTGTGTTGCTTCATACATACGATCTTTAATTAGGTAGTGGGAAATTTTGATTTTGGATAAACTTATTTCAATAAACTTAACTTTACATAACACTACTTTAGTTTATAAATAATTAAATGCTTTGTTTTCCAAGAGACTTACATTTTTTACGTAGAACTCGAAAATCATAACGATTTTTTTTCCTGTGTAATATAATAAAAGTAATATACCATTTTGCAAATTTGTCTAATATAGTAGTTTTTATTAACAAATCAGAAAAATCATTTTTTCGAAACTTATTTATTGTTTTTATATTTATTTTAAAAAATGCTTTAAAGTGGTTTGGATTTTTAGGAAAGAAGAACAGCTGCGCTAAGTTACGTTATGTGTTTCCCTGTGGGCTACCTAGTGTAATGAACCTCCTTTTGTTGAGGGTGTCTATAGCTGGGATAGTTCAGCCACAGCCAGGGTCCTTACAAGAAAATTTATATATACTCGACTCTGAGTACTGGTTTACCTACCGATCATTTTCTATGGTCTCAATTTACAAACGACTTTTATTCAATTCAATTTGTTCTTTTCTTTTATTGATTGTATGACTATTAAATTATTTAATTATATCTTATTTCAAAAACTAGCAATAACTAATAAACTATTATATTATATACCGAACAACTAAGGTAGCAATAATAATAAAAAAAATACAATATCTGTCTTAATTCAACGCACAGGGTAAAATTTTAAACGCAGCATTGATTCGCTGTACTATAATGATTTGCAGCCGGAGCTTTATAGTTTCAAAGCCCAGTATAATAATTTCAACGTAGTATGGATTCGATGTACTATAATAATTTTCAGCCGGAGCTATATAATATCAAAGCACAGTATAATATTTTCAACGTAGCGTGGGTTCGATGCACCATAAAGATTTTCAGCCGGAGGTACATAATTTTAAAGCACACTATTATATTTTCAACGTAACGTGGATTCGATGCACCATAAAGATTTTCAGCCGGAGCTATGTAATTTCAAAGCACAGTATTATATTTTCAACGTAACGTTGATTCGATGCACCACAAGGATTTTCAGCCGGAGCTATGTAAGTTCAAAGCACAGTATTATATTTTCAACGCAGCATGCCTCCGCTGCACTATAATGATTTGCAACCGGAGCTATATTTAAAGCACGAGATCAAAAAAACTACCAAATGCTTACCATTTTCCTGGTTACTCACGTGTAGCTGCAGGTGATACTATATTCTTGTGTAAGTGCGTACCTTTTGTGCAGGATGTCCATAGAGTACTTGTAGAAGCCCTCTATGTACTTCCTTTATCTAACAACTGTTAAAGCTCTCAGACTGGTACACTACATCTCACCTATAGTTTACACCGATCCCACGTTGAAAGGCACCACGAGTGACTTGTTGACCAACTATGTCATCCAGCACTCCGTCACCAGAACCCGATCTGTACTGTCCAATGATGGTCAAAAGAAGAGAACGATTTCAGAAAAATATGTCTTTTTATCTAATCTTGGTGATCTTGTGATGCATTTTTTTACATGTAAGGATTGTTTTTGCATGTTTACAGATTGTGCACATGCTTATTATTTTCAAATCTTTATGTGCAAGCATTGTTTTTAGCTGTTTACTGCTTGTGCAATTTTTTTTTTGCAAAATTGTTTTTGGCTGTTTACTGCGGGTGCCCATGGTTATTATTTTGCAAATTTTATTTGCAAAATTGTTTTTGGCTGTTTACTGCTTGTGCCCATGCTGGTTATTTACACAAATAAGTTAGGGCCGCGTAGTATTATGTAACCCTATGATGGTTCTTATTATTTTTTAAATTAATTCAGTTAGTTCAAAGTTTAAACTAAATTTAAATTTCATTTGTAATCAAAGTTGTTTCACAAAACAAATTTTTATATCAAGGTAGTTCATATTATTTTTTAAATTATGGATCCGCACTACTCCGCAGCGAGAAACTAAAAAACTACTCCACTAAGCAACTTCCCGTGACAACTCCCAAAACCAACTGAACTATTCTAACCTTCCCACCCATGTTTTCACCTTTGGGAAACAGTGAAAACATTGATCATGTGCGTAATGCATCAACGGAAATTTCCATTGTTACGCAGAAAAATAGAAGTGAAATATTGACTTAGCTACCTGTTTTGCATAAAGAACTGGGTATAGAATTCAATGGTTGAACCAAAGAATCTATAGTACAAAGAAGTGCCACGCTCTTACAAACGAAATACCCACTTTTTTGCTGGTGGATTTATAATAAATCCACCCAACCTCATGCAACAATGTTCGATCGAGTCACAACTGGTATGATGTTCAGTTCAAACCTAAATGTAAGTCAAGTAAGGCTGACGAAAGCCCGACTGCATACGTATTCAATCATACATGCAACCCTCTGTATTATAATATACGCATGTTTGTATGTTTGTTCGCTGTAAAATGTTCAAGCGATCAAACAGCATTTCAGTGACGAAATCAAAATTGTGTACATTTGATAAGTTATTGAATTTAATAGTATATGAAACAAAATCACCTGTTTGCTAATGGTATGAATTGTAGTGTAAAAACACATTACAAATTTATTTATGTCTCAAAGCTGATTTTTTCCATTCTATGATGCCTTATTCTTAAATGTTGTCCATGCGCAATGTTTCCGAAGCAATATCGTAAACACCAATTTCAACATTGTCTTTTCAAACACTTTTATATGAATTTTGCAAATGTTAAAAAATGAAGTTGTTGGTGCACACAAGCTTCCAAAATCGCTGTTAAGCTTATAATTTTTGGTGTGTATAAACATCTTTGATGGATAAGACAAAATTTCATTAGATTTGATTGTGTTCATTCGGCATTTTTGACATTTTTTACGACGTGCAATGTAACCAATTAAATATCGACTAGAAGTCAATTCAATAGGAATTCTATCTGAATAGAATGAGTCTGCTTCTTCATTGAAGTACGCTTCATTGTCTCCACAAACGTCCTCCGCAGTTAATACAACGTGTTCGCTATTAGGAATTTCGGTATATACTCCATGCAAACTGCGAATATTATCTAGCATTGAGCAAAAATCTAATTCCAGCATAACATCTTCATCTTCTAAGCAATTTGATTGCGAGTTGAACTGATACAATTTTTAAGACAATAGCTTTGCCACAATTATATTAAACTCGTATATACGAAAATGTATTTTCTAATGGATCTTGGTTAAAGCGGCTAGTTAAAATAACGGAAATGTTTGTATTTTCTGTAAACAAGTCGTTTGCCAAAGACAATATACCATTTATCGTTTGAATTAATCCATCAACGCAAAATACTTTGCTACCTTTATATTGAAGGTTTTTAATATACTCTTTAAAGTCCAAAAGCTCTTTCCAAACACAATTTTCGAATCTTAACCCAAGTTTCAATGGCTTGGGATCACTAAATGTTTTACTGCTGAGGGCATCAAAATAGTTGTCAATGATATCAATAAATGCTGCCGTATTGACTGTGACTAGGAATCATTTCTATGGAATTGTTTATTTATAGTTGCGGATTTAATTGCTGCTGCGACAGTATGACTCAGAGTTTGAGCAGCAAGCCTCACTCGCATTTTTTCGAAATTAGTAGGTGCAATATGAGCTATTGTCAATTTCGTCATTTTCGTTACATTTTCCTGTTCTAACTCAAACAATTCTCTTATTACATCAAATTTAATTTTGCCATCAGCTGTTTCAAAATCTGCCTTTATTAATGCATTTCTTATGGATTTTGTTAAATGTGGTACATCATATAAAAGATAAATTTTTGCATTCTTATGAATAAAGTACGGTCTTTTCACTGAAACATTCAATAACTTATAGCAATGTCGATTTTTTGGACCTTGATCACATGTTATTCAACGTACTTTTAATCCCAATTTCTCTGCACAGTCTAAATTATTCTGTAATAATTGTCGTAGTGATGGCCCTTTGATTAAATTATTCATTACAACATAATTCAGAATCAATTTCCAATTTTTTATGAGCCCCCCAACATAAAAACGCAAATATGTGTACCTATCTCATCTGTCCGTTTATTTCCTAAATCAACCAGCCCACAAATTACATCTGCAGAGGCATTGTAAGTTAAATTTTTTTTTATAGCAATTTCATCAAATATTAAAATGCAATTCTTTTCAATTGAATCCAATTTGAGGACTGTTATTTTAAGCACTGTATAAATACAAATATTATGTCCATGCTGTAAACTTTTTATTTCATTCCATCTCCGAAGGGATGAAGGACTGGGAAAATTTAACTTTAACGTGTTTCTCAGTAATAAATACATAGCAGTGGACTTATAATAAATAATTTGAGCAATATGCCGTTCATTCAAATTTCGGACAGCTGTAGCTCCTCGATTAGGTTTAATCAGCATTTTAGAGAGCACTTTTTCATTATCAGTAATATCCATTTTATCAATCAATTCATTTACTGACAATTTTGGTTTTAATTGCCTTTTGAACTTAATTACTAAGTTCTTCAAAGCCTTATTTTCTCCTTTTAAACGACGATTTAATTCAGATTTTTTTATTAGTTTTTTCCGTAATAAAAGATTCTTGTTTTGATAAAATTTAACGTTTTTAATATTATGAAAACAACTGCCACACAAAGATGGAGGTGATTCTGATCTCATCCGTTTTCGAATTGGGGATAATAGAATTGATATGTCGATATCATCTTCAGTTTTCCGTTCATTATCGGTTTTATCGTAATTCTGTAAGCATAACGACGTAACAGCTCCTCGCTTAAGATTCTTTTTTCCAATAACTTCAGCAGAAAAATGATTACTACATAAATACAATGAGGTGTTGTTTTCAACAAATTATTCATTTAATTTACATTTGTCTGCCCACTCCTTAAAAATAGGCGAATCATAGTTTGGAAACTTAAATAGTTTTAAATCGGGAAAATTTCTTTTGGATCTCTTACAATGAGATAAACAACACTTATTACCCGCAATCGTTTTACGATTTATTTTAGACATTAAACTTTTTGAACAAATCAAAGTAAGTACAAATAAATTTTAAATGTCTAATATAAATGTATATGGACACCAAAAAACTGTATAATGTTTATATAAACTTTTAATATTTTTTTGTTTTTAAGAATTGTAACAGACTTTACAAAACACGTCTTATTTAAAACAAGAAAGACAAAAGAAACAGGCGTATAAAAACAATTGTGGGTTGCACTGAGTTTGAACTGAACATCATACCAGTTGTGACTCGATCGAACATTGTTGCATGAGGTTGGGTGGATTTATTATAAATAAACCAGCAAAATAAAGTGGGTATTTCGTTTGTATGAGCGTGGCACTTCTTTGTACTATAGATTCTTTGGTTGAACTCAATATTAATTTACAACTGCTGATAAAATGCAGTTTCGCATATATTGAAAATTGAGTTAAATGGTTGAACTCAATAATATTTTACAACAAACGCTTCCGCGTTGTATGCAGAAAATTATTAAAAATAAAATGGGTCATATCAACAATTTG